TATGGTCTCTTCAGAGCCTTCTCTTAAGCCAGTTCCTTCAGGACATCAGCCAGTTCTTTCAGAACACTGGGTATTCATATCATCAGGTCCTGCAGACTTGTGCACATTCAGTCTCATGAGATGATCTCTAACTTGCTCTCTTCTTACAGTAGGAGGAATTTTGCTCTTCTGACCTCAGCCTAGAAGTTCAGAGATGTGAAAGTTGTGGGAAGCCTAACTGGCCATGAAGACAGAGGCAAAGCACTCACTGAGCTCCTCAATCTTCTTCACGTCTTCTTGAAGACAGTTCTCCCTTCTAAATTATCAGAGGTGGAATACTGACCTTTGCCTGTCTCTTCTCATCGTTGTAGCTGTAGAAAACCTTCTTGTTATCTTTTTCACATTTCTCAGCAAATTCATTTCCATCTATGCCTTACTTTCCTCATCCCATCTCTGCCTATCTGGATGACATCCCTGTATTATTTCAAGGACACATGCCCCTGTTTTTACACTGCCTATACATTTCCTTCTTTTCAAGTGTCTCTATGAAAATGTCCATGAGGTTAGCACTAGAACTGGACTCCAAAAGAGGTGGTGCTGGATAATCCAGATATAGATAGCAATTGTCCCCAATGCTAATAGTATGGAGCCGTACTCTTTTCCTGTTTACCCCCCAAAAAATGACAAAGGAGCCAACCATCCATCCTCATAGCCTGGGACTTGGATAGGGCTGAGTCTACCACTTTCCCATGGTTACTAAGCAATTTTTAGAGTGCGTCTATTTGCACAGACTCTGCACGGATGTGCATTGACATCTGTGACGGTTAGAAGAATGATTCCCAAAAGTCTGCCAGAAGTCCCAAAGAGCTACCAGGGGAATCAATTTTAGTTTGCCTTGGCAAAATATTGCCATACTTTATTGTGATAACATTGATGTTTTTTGTACTTAGGTAGCATCTACAACCTGGACAGCCTACTTTTTCTGAGATCAGTCCTCGCACTTCCTATGCCCTTGTGGTTACCATAAATCAGTTTGTAAATTCTCAGTTTTGCTGTTGTACTTGCCTGGATACTAAATATCTGATCAAAGAAGATTGTTTCAATAGGGGCTTGTGATGTTTTCAGACTACAACAAAATTTTCTGCAACCAGTCTCTGCACAGATCAGAATTCTAAACGAATGTGCTCCTAGCATGTGCATCAGAGGTGATTGTCAGGTTAGGGATTTTAACAGGAGAACAAGGTAATGCATTTAAAGTAAAAGCTTTTTAATGAGAAAAAGAAGTCAGATGTTGAGAAAAATCTGTGAGAAAACTGCTGAGTTTTCAGTGACTAATGAACTATAATTAAGTAAGGAGCTGGTAATATTTTGATATAGATCTTCTGAAATGGAGTGTGATCTGTTATGAGACTTAAGGTGGTACAATTTTTTATGGCCTTCTGAAATACTACAAACTGATAAAGTCACCTTTAAACATTTTCTTTAAGGGATGTGCTCATTGTGATTTCTTTTCTTGAAATATCTTTTCTGTTTTCCTCTTCCTCATTCTGAAGGGAGAAAGTCTCCTGATCATAACATAGGTAGAAGCAGACATATCTTGGTGGAAGCCAAATGAAACCATCAGATATCAGTCCAAAGAAGCACCTGGTCACACTATAGGGAGAGTTTCCATTTGTCTGTTTGTGGCAGTGTCTCATTATTGTGTTGGGAGTTACGGGCAGCTCAGCATTAGGTAGTATCTATGTATCAGTGAGGGTCATTTTGAGTAAGAACAGTCATCCTTAAGATTGAGAAAAAATGACTTAATTTTCTTACTATAGAACAGGAAGGCTGCACTCACCCAGATACAGCCCGTTTCTCTTGTAAGCTCTGATGAACAGGTTTGTCAGCTGTCCATGTAGAAGCATGCTGCTGTTCAAATATGTTAACTCTTTTGTTGAAGCAGAATTTTCATTTGAAATTTGTGTGAACAAATATGAAGAATTATGTCCATTAAAGTTTAAATGCAAGATCAAGGCCATACAAATTTCCCATTTCAAATTGGACTGCAAAGCACAGGGTTATCAAGTTGATTATTATTAAATAGTGAGTAGAAATAGAATAATAAACTCCATATCCTGTGACTGGTGAAAGAGTGCATGTCTCCCTGTACAACAGAGACTACAGAACTTCCCACTGCCTTTTGGACTGAAAACACCAAAAGCTAGAATCAGCCATATAGCATAAAACATCAGTGATTCTAGAGTTGCCAATGTGTCTGTCTTTAGGTAAAAGGTCTTTCTTATTTAACATCTGTAGCCAAGTGAACATCCTGTGAATGAGGAAAACATATTAAACTCACAAAGAAATCAGAGTTTTGTAGTAGGCAAACTTTCTGCCACAGAATCCTATGGACAGCATTACACTTACTTGCCTCTGCACATAGTTGGGGAAAGCCTCAATTCATTAAGTGTCACTTCTACAGACAAATACAGAACTCACAGTAATACCTAAGTGAACCATGACAGCAAATTTGAGCTTCATTTGTCAAGTCCAGGTTTTAAAATTTTATGGATAGAGCCTATTTTTCTTCTTAAACCAGTTCTCTGCTGATAAGATTTTAGCAAAATTGCACATTCAGTGAAGTTACTCTTGATTAACTTTACCTAGTGGAAGTGAGAGAGCCTTCACATCTGCAAGCTGTATTCATATACAAGGAACAACCACACAAAGGCCAAACTAGCATTGACTTCAAAGAATTCTATACACCAAGGAAGAGAGAGAAGGACAGGAGAGTTGCTTATCTTCTAGAGAGATCACTGGAAATCCAGAGCTGCTTATTTTCAGAGAAGGTCTAAGGAAAAATGGCTAGTTTAGAGTTTGAACTCTGAAATCTGTGTCTTAACAGCTGCTTCAGTTCAAAATATCATTTCACATTATACTCAAACAACTTTGTCATTTTTTTCTTGAATGAAATCTAATGAATGAGTTCTTAATCTGGAGAAACTCTCCTCTACACTTTGTTTGTTATCACTAAGTGATACTTCTTCCCCAGCATACAGTAATTATTGTGGTTATTTCAAGGGCTAGTCTGCGTGTTATTTTGCCTAGTGCTGTTTTTATCCCTACATTACAGATGCTTTATTTAGTATAATACAGTTGATCAGTCTGTAATGCAGTTGAATTTGTTGTTATAGCTTACTTAATAAACAATTATGCATCATCTACGCTACAGTCTATGAATCAGAATTGCACAATATATTCACAATTCTTTCTGCTGCTAGTGCTTAATCAAGTTATATAATACAATACTTATGAAATCTAATGACTAGATGTGATGACTCAGGAAGTGTGTTCTTTCAGGCAAGGGTTAGGGTTGCAATACAAAATTTGCTATTGTGAAAGAACTTTTCATAGGATATTGTGCCTAATTAATATTCATCATTTTCTTAATGAGATGAAGGGAGGTGGCATGGAGGAATGTTATTTTTAAAATTCATATTTATATTTATTTATTTATTTATATTTATTCAATTTTTATTCCTTGGAAGTGTAGATTTTAGTGATAAAGATGTGTGCCTGAGCCTTGTTTGTATTCCTTACCTTTGCATCCCTTCCAGATTAGCATCCTCTGACTTCTTACACATGTAGAATTCTGGAGCAGACCCAGTGACTGCAGTGGAAACCATAAGAACTGTGCTGGTTGTGAGAAAATTCAGTACAGTTTTGGGAATTCCTAGTAAACAATTAAAAGTAATCAGCCAATTTACCATAGGCATTTTGGAGAGGCCTCATTCCAGCAGTCTGTGAATATAATCTTTGCTGACGTTAAGAGCTTAATAAAAAGGTAAGAAATGGAAGTAGCATGATCTGTGCAATTCTAGAGTCTTTCATAAATGCTGGCCTGACTGGTGCTAGCAAGGAAACAGTTAAAAATCTGTATGCATAACAGTTAATTAAAATGTCAAACAGAGCATCCACAATTCTCTTATATCTCAGTTAAATGGCATGGACTTCTTCAGTACAAATTACAATTGCTTGTATCTTTTATACTTTCTAATCAGGTAATGGTCATACAGGTACAATCTCCACTACACGTAAACAATGCATCTTGACTTGACCATGGAGCTTGTAGATACTTTTATGGAGTGGCTGGCAGTATAACAGATTCATCCACAAAGTCTTTCCATTACATTTACACAGCCTGAAAACATCTTCCTTTCATGCAGAGGGTGGTGACACACTGGAACAGTTTGCCCAAGAGGCTTGTGAATGCCCCATCCCTGGAGGCATTCAAAGCCAGGCTGAGTGTAGCTCTGGGTCTGGTCTAATGGTTGGTGACCCTGTCTACGGAGGGAGGTTGAAACTAGATGATCTTTGAAGTCCTTTTCAATCCAAGACATTCTATGATTCTATGAGTTCTACTTTTTTCCAGCTTTGTCACCCATCCCAAAGGGAGGAAGGAAAGTAACCAAAAGGCTGTGTGGTGTTTATATGATTGCCAAGTTGAATTGTGATCCTAGACTTCAAAACAGGATGGCTTTAGATCTGTTAACAGCTAAGGAAGGAGGGGTATGCACAGTAATAAATCAGAATTGCTGTGCTTATATAAATGAGAATTTGAAAATTGAAACAGACTTAAGGAAAATTTGGGAGCAGACAAAGGTTCTGCATAAGACAAGCATGGATGACACAAGCTGGGAAACAGAGTAAGTGGGATTCACTTACTAATGGGGGAATTGAAAGGTGGAAAAGGGCCCCATAAGAAAAGTAAAAGGCAAAAAGAAGGTTTCACAGTAACTGAGAATAGGGGGGAGGATAAGGGGGATAGTTAGGAATAGTTTATAGAAGCAGGAATGTTGAGCTCATTAGAGGAAGGGGAACAGCAGGCACATGTTCTGGGATAGTGAGGGGGATGAAGGCCATGCTGATAAGCTTAGAGACATCTGGCAGGGAGGTGATTAGATGTCCAAAAGAGCAAGACGAAACTAGTTTGGGGGATGCCCCCCCTTCTCTGTCAGGAGTTATGGTGAGGAAGGTCAGAAGCCTTCACAAAAAAGACAATAAATTCTTCAACCCAGACCCACTACGCATGCAGAGCAGGGAAGGGTCTGCATGCTTTGGGGTATAATGAATATGTATCTGAATTCTGGGAAGTTACTGATTATGTATTAGTTCACTCTATATCTGTAGCACAATTTTTCTAGACAGTGTGCAAGCTTGGAGGAATTATCCCCCTTCCACCAGAGCTTTTGTGCAATTGTCAATAAAACATATTTTCTCTGTATCCTTACAGGCTATAGGGTTTGATTTCCCACACGTCAATTTGGCACCCCAGATGGGACCTGCTCTGTTTGGCTGTGGGATCAGTTGAGAGAGGGGACGCCTTTGGCGCGCCCAAGATTTCTCTGAAGGACTTCCTTTTGTCATCCGATCACTGCGGGAGCAGACAAGGACCATCAGCGGACCAAGTATGTGATTGGAAAGGGGACCTGTAAGTCGTACACGAGGAAGAGAGCTTTTTGCTCCCCCTTAGGCTGGGCTGGTGGGTGACAGAATATAGGGGGTATTCTGTCAAAAGCTTGCCTGGGCTCTCCTTGCTGTGATAGCAGAGATTTGAGTTTGCATGCTCTTTTACCATCTACTGTTATATTCGGTTCCATGTATTTGAACTACTGTATTATTATACTAGTACCACCAAATATCTTCTAAGCAATTTTGAACTCGGTTAAGACCAGTCTTGTGTGTCCTGAGTGAGTCTGGTGTGGATGGACAAAGCGAAAGTTTCAAATTTGTTTTAGAGACCACCCCATATCCTTTTTCCTTTATTCACCAGTATGTACCTGCTGGGGAGATTTAAAGCTCAGAGTGGGAACATGACCATCACAATCTAATTTCATTGTATTAATTAACATGACTAATATAAAGGAAACCAGTGACATCTTATACGTGTATAGTTAAAAAACTTTTTTTTTCCTTAGATTACAAATAATGTTTTAACATAATATTCCTGTGATTTTATGGCCAGCCTTCCATAAGCAGAAAAAAATCTTACTCCAGACTCTTCAAACATAGCTTTTTTGCCATCTCTTTTGCAGTGTTTCCTGCCATGATCTTCTTAAAGCACTACGTGATCTTTCTGCATTGCACACCTTTGATATTATATAAACAATAGTCCACTTTCAGCCTCTGTATCTGTGTAGCTATGTTGTTTTGGGTACTGTCTATTTTAGTAGATAGCTTCATCAGCTGGAGACTTGCTATCACTGTCGCTCATGTTAGAACAGACAGATAAAATTTATTTTCTATGTGGGGCTCTTTTGTTTCAATAAGAAGCACAGCTGTGATGAAAATTTTGAAGAGGAAGGCTACCTTTTAAATATAGATGTTAAAAAAATTTACAGTCACAAATGTATATTACTTTCGCATTTGCGTGTTTCTACTATGCCATTCTATATTTGCTCCGTTTGCAAATCATATCACAAAGAACAGTTATATAAAAATGACAAAGCTTGCTGATAGAAAAGCTAGAGCAAAATTGAAAAATCACAGAATTCACAGGACAGTGATTGAATGCAAGATGGGAAAGAATATTGTGTACTTAGGTGCAGTGTAGATAAATGAAGTGGACTTAAAGGATAAAAAGTATTCCTACTTTCACATTTAAAATAATAACTTCTGATGTGGCTTAATATTTCAAGAACAGGCGTTTCAGTTTACAGTTTCTCCAGGAAAACATCTCAGCAGTCAAAGAACAAAAATTGCTAATGCAATTATTACAAACAACAAAAAAGAAAAAGAAACAAAAAAACAACACACAAAAACACAAAAACAATAAGAGAGGGAGAAGTTACTGTACTGATGCATAAATTTGACATTCATCACTGCCTCAAAGAAAGTGACCACACCTGCTTGTCTTCCTGACGATTTCTGCTATAACTGGAAAACCTTTAGCGACAGGTAACACGGGCAGTTAGAGGTACTGGACAGCTTCCATACCAAAATCAAGGCAATGGGCAGGGATTCCTTATCCTGTGGCTGAGATTGTTTAATGGAAATATGATTTAGGTGCACAGATTATGAAGTGGCTAAAAAGGAATCAATGTAGCTCAACAAAGAACTACGTTCAACAAAGGTAAATGAAATGTACATAGTGTGGAAAACACTGTTGCTCTCTGCCAAGGCATGAAATAGGAACTATCAAACAGAGCTGAATTCAAAACAAAACCAAGAAATCAGTGCATCAAAGAACAGGTGACAAATGAGTTGGCTTCTTCCTGTAGGATGCTGTGGATGCCATGTGGGTGCCCTGCTGAGGACCTGTCAGCCATTCAGCAGAACTTCCAGCCCCCGGTGGATGTCTCTGCTACTCTGGCATTTTCCTGGCTCAGGAAGGCCTTCTGATATCCCTAATCAACTGCTATGCTGTGGGTAGATCCAGCATTGGAGCTGATCAACTTCATGAATGAGGGCTGAATGAATCCATGGAAAAAGATCATTGATATCTGTTCCATAGACATCCATTCATGGCATCTGCTGAAGGCAGAAAGATGAGCAAAACAGGCCCTTAACACGAATCAGTGAGAACATATTTATAGTGTAGCAGGATTAAAACCTGAAATTTCTGGGTGCATCTGGTGAACTTTGTCTCTTAGTGAAGTGGTTTACTAATATTGATCTGAGATCACAAAAGTAGTGTTTTTCATAAGATTGCCAGTTCAGATCATGGTGGTACTGGAATTTTTTTCAGGCAGAGCATAAGGCTCTCCGCTCCTCTAAATGCCTGTGAAACTGAAGATAATGTAACTCCTGGTAATTTTTAGTTCTTCACTGCCTTGTTTTATATAAAATGGAATTTATTGGTTCTGAGAGGAAAGTTTCTGCAATCTTGACGTACGAGAATAAGGCTGAGATGAACTGTGTCATTAGGGTGGGACCCACCTGTCTAGGGTAAGAATGGACTGGAGGCTACTCTGAGTAAGCACAGGATTTTTCAGTGTGTGGAAAATAGAAGTAAGGGCCTTTTTGTACGTGGTGAGAGTTTGAATGCAAAATGGGAAATAATATTGTGTACTTATGTTCAAAATAGTAGATAAATCCTGCTTATTTTAAGCAGACTCTGGAAGACTTGATAAGGGCAGAAAACCTATGATCTTTTTTAATTTCTCCTGCTTTCACATCATCCCCTTGGGAAGAAAATGATTCTGCCCTTGTCCACTCGTGTATTTTTGCAATTGATTCCTTCAGCTGTCTGCAAAGTAAATACTCATAAGAACTTGAAAAAAAGTTCCATTGCCCAAAGGTCTTGTCACTATAGTGTGTGTAATACATATTTCAGAGAACCAGAGATGTTAACAGGAGGAACAGTTTGTAGCCTACACAGAGGCACTGCTCTCAGTAAATTTAATTTGATCAAAAGTAATTAGACGATAATGTTATAATTAAATAAGTGATGTCTTGCTATTTACTATCACCATGCATATCACAACAGGGCAGTATCCATGGCAAACACAATTTTGCCACAGCTGCAGTATAAATAATTCAGCTTTAATCAAAAGCCACATCTGGTCAGGCTTATATAGCAAAATGTCATGTCAAGACAGGCCTTATTCCACCTGCCAGTCTTGCATGTGATTCGAGTTACTTCTGTATGAAAACATCACAGCCTGCGCTCCACAGAGTAATGCAAAGCACAGAGGCACATTCTGATCAAAGGCTGAAATTCTTCTTTAGAAACATCTCCCTGTATTGCAGGCAAAAACTTACTGTTTATTTATAAGCATTTATTTGCTATGCCACACTCCCACTGTTATTCATTTATCAAATCAGTAGGAGAAGCCCATATCACATACAACAGAAGACAGCATTTTTCTTGTCTTTATAACCTACAGATGGTCATTTTTAGGGCAATAATACTATACCACATATCTTAGGCATAGTAGAGTGAGTATGCATGAATACTGACTTGGTGTGCCTGCATAAAGCAGAAAATCTTATCCAAAGAATAATTACATGCTGGTGGTACTGTAATACATCTTGCAGTAAAAGCCAGAGTTAAGGACTGTATTGTAACATGAGTTAGAGACTGTGACTTAGTGGTGCCCCGGGAAACAGATCTTCTTCTATCCCGAAATTAGATAGCATTTTGTCAGAATCACCTCATGGGAAGATGTTATTTGAGTACCATTTTCATCCCAGTTAGAAATGTACTGCTGCCCAGAACACATGCAAACACGGCTAGTTCATTCACAGTTATTGCTGTGCCAGCATTTTCTTTCAGCTGAAATAATTATTTTCCTTTGGCATATTTGCTGTTAACTTTTGCTTTATGAACCAGGTAGGCCACTGTCTTTGGGAGTACTTTTAATTCAGTGCAGCCTGTAGGCACATTCCAGCTGTGAGTTAGCTCAGATGCAAGACCAAGAGACTGATTTAGTTTGATTAGCTGTATTTCATAGCAAAATGCTTTAGTCTTAACTGAATTCTCATCCCCATTTCCTTCATTTTATCTATAATTTCTGTCAAATACTGAAATTCAGAGACACTGCTTCTCTATGAAACTTTATTTCCTCATCAAAATTAATATTGATACAGTCAATCTTTAACTAACCAGTATGTATCTTTTTAAATATATATTTATCCATTATTCTGTTAAATATATACTAAAACTTTGCATGGTTTGAGTTTGGGTTCATTAAATAATAGCTACTTGGATCTCTTCCTTCACACTTTTAGATTTCCACCCCTCATACTTTTCTTGTTTTAAAATACAGCCATTTTACATGCAGTTCTGCAGTCAAACATTGTTACAGTGATATCGGTAAGGGTCTTTCAAACAACATTTTTTTCTGTGCTTGTCATTGAAGTATCAGCTCTTTCAAAACCCGAAGGCTCCATATGTGTTATTTTCTTTCTATATCAGTAGGGGTCTTTTAAAAAGTATTTTTTTTCTGTGTCTGTCACTGAAATGTAAGTTCTTTCAAAATCCAAACGTTTCATAAGCATTATTTTTTTTCTCTTCCCTTTCAGCTGAGATAAAATCCAATGCAAACCTTCATTTATATTCAACAAACTAACTTGTCATTACATAACCACTGTAATAATGAAAAGGTGGGGCAAAATGCATATTTTGTTCTGGGACCAGATCTAGATTGCTTTTAAATTGCACACCACCCTCACTGTGGATAAAATTCCTCCACTATTCCCCTTTCACCTATGAGAGCAACAAAAATCTTTTCTACTTGGTTTAATTTCCTTCTCAAGATCAACATCAGCTTCATATTTGCCTGAACTCACTTTGCTGCTGAAAGCTTTGCTCTAAAAAAGCGGCTTATTTGGTTAGTTAGCTGAATTCTTACTTCTGGGTTCTTGGTTATGCTGATTTATTTTGGGGGGTGACTATTAGAGTCTAGCTGTAGCTGAAACTCTTCCTAGTTTCCAGATGCTGAATCTACCCTCAAGAATCCAACCTTTACAGAAACGTCTACACCAGTATAAAGGACACAGGCTACAGTTATATGATCGACAAGTTATATGATGAACAGAGAAGTCAGGGAGGGGAAATAAGCTGAAATTTTGGAAGCCAGGAGGCTGAAGCATTTTTTTATGTAATAGATGATCACAAAGATAGAGCTTCCTTGTCTGGAAAACTGTCTGGTTGCAGAATGCTGCTCTCTGAATATAGATAATATTTTATTACTTCTTATAAAATGAGAAGATCATGTTCTGTTAAATTATCTCTTACACTAATGACCTTTTCAAAAATGTATAATATTGCTAGCAGAAAATGTTCTCTTCTGTAAGGAATAAATCTTTATTAGTAGTGGGTTTCTTCAGTGCAGCGTATCTATCTACAAACAAAACATTATTGCCAATAATCTCAGTGGTTGTTTTACCAACAAATTATCATTGACTTCAGAGGTAAGGCTTTGGTGCTATCAACAACTGGGCTGTTATAAACATGAAAAGAGGTATTTTCAAGTATTTAGTTCTACAATTACTTTTAATCTATGAAATATTCTTCTGTTTGTGATTTCTTTATAGCTGTTAGTTTTAACAGCGGTGACAAATTTGTTTTGAAGGATTTCTGAGAAAAATAAGTTTGAATTCTCATTAACCTTGAGTCGTTTCTCTATTATTACAATTATTTAATGTCTAAATTCACAGAGGACTTCACGCAGAAATGTTAGTCTAGAAAATATGAATTAACCATCAGATGCTTAGATTTTTCTATCAACAGGAAACTACCCTTTGCAGATTACTTGTACCCAGTCAGGCTGAATTTAAAATGCATTCAGTGGAGTATTCATCTCCCTTTGTTACAATGGGCATGGGCAGTTCAGCTCTATTACACACAATTGCAAATATCTACTTAGGAGAAGCCAAAAGCCAGGATAAAAATGGTTACTGCAATTCAAGCTTAAGATCTGGATGGAAGACTGCACGAGATTTGACGTACAGTGCTTTTTCTACATACTGTACTATTACATAGTTTTTTCTATTACATACTTTTTCTACATATTGTTTTAAATTCCTTCATGTGAGCATCAGCTGGAAAATATGAAGAAAACTACACAATGAATAGTTGTGGAATATGAACAACTGGAAGCAAGAATATCACCATCAATTTGGTGCTTCAACCTGAAAGTTTTCCAAAATACTTTTCTGGGGTGGTAACTGGATCAGAGACGCAATGGCAGAAGCAGGAGTTGGTTTGAAATTAAGCCCTAACACACAATTTCATTGTGTGAGGACAAACTTTATAGGGGAACTGAGCATTCATCCTCTAGAAGACGCACTGAGAAGCATTTAGGATACTGATATACTAGTGACTAAGAAAAATAATGCTCTTAATAATCCTACATGCAACATAAGATGGATTTGTTCTACAGATGAGAAATGGCCTCAGAAAATTACTTGCTAAGGACAACATGATAAAAGATTTAGAAAAATGTTCAAGGAAAATCACTGTAAATGCTTCACTTATTAAAGAAATAGATAACACTCAGTTTTATAACAGATTGTAGCCAGCTTAGAGACTTACAATGATATAAAGAAGATGGCTTCAATCAGAAAAATAGATTGCTGACCAGGGTTTCTTTTACTTAATATGCATTCTCACAAGCAAGTGTTTATACAAATCCATATTATCAGAGAATCACAGAATCATAGAATGACTTGGGTGGGAAGGGACCCCAAGGATCATCAAGCTCCAACTCCCCTGCCACAGGGAGGGCCGCCAACCTCCAGATCTGGTACTAGACCAGGCTGCCCAGGGCTCCAGCCAACCTGGTTTTGAACACCTCTGGGGATGGAGTGTCCACAGCTTCTCTGGGCAGCCTGTTCCAGCACCTCACCACTCTCTCTGTGAAGAACTGTCATGCAATCTAAACCTTCTCTCTCTGAGCTTAAAATCATTCCCCCTTGTCCTATCACTGTCTAATCTTGTAAAAAGTTGATTCTCCTCCTGTTTATAAGCCCTTTTTAAATAGAGGAAGGCTGCAATGAGGTGTCCTCACAGCCTTCTCTTCTCTAGGCTGAACAAGCCCTGCTCCCTCAGCCTGTTATATCACCTGTGCCTGCTATAAGCACCATTGCATGAGACAATGTAGATGCAACTGCAAATGAAAGCTTGTTTAAATAGAAGAACAGCAAGGATTTTTTTAGAGATCCTGCTCAAGCTTCAGTGATCATTACCATGGGACATTCATGTCCCAAGGCAGGATCAGAGTGGCAATTCACTATGCCTCTTCACTACGGATGACTCTTGACTGATCAGCTCCAGTGATCCCAGCTCATTTTCTAGCGTCTGTACTGTCAGATCAGAATGATGTCAGGTCCATGTTGTGGAGGCATGTGACAAAGAACAACTTTTCAAGTTGATATATGAATACAGATGTGTGTATCCACGGTTAAGTGCAGAGAATCATTGTCCTAGCATCACATGATACAGGGACGAGAGATAAAACAACTTTATTGTTTACTTGTCTACTCAGGAACATCTGAGTAGAAACAGCCTGCCAGGATCATATACAGACCATTTTACTTTTATTCATTTCTATATTGTAACTTCTGTTCCCAATTTTAACTGGCTTGGAAAGGGTGTATTAGAATTTTGATTTGTACCAAATCACTTCACTAGGGTTAATCTCATTTCACTGAACAGTTGCAGAACATATGACGTAGATGTGAATGCTATATCCTATATCCATCTTGACACCTGGAGAAAACAGTGAAAGTCATGCAGAACAAAAGGCCAGTGTAATTCTATTGTGGCATTCGGGTAAGATGAATTCAAATGGCTTGGTAAGCATCAGGTTAAAAATGACTTTTTTGAGCTATATTTCCTACATAGATTTAGAACATCTTTGATGAATAATTCATCTCATGAATATAGTTTATTGTGCCTGAAGAACTAGTCATATCTCATTACCTCTCAGAATTAAGATCATCACAAAATAGGTCTGAAGGATTCCCTAAAATCAGGAGTCTGAGGCAAGGCCACAAAGTGCTAGAGAAAAAAATCAGCTCTATCACCAAGCTGAAGTTGACCCATCAGTCATTTAATCATGACATGAAAATCCAAGCAGCAGTGAGTTAATCCCTGGAAAGCAGTTTCACAAACCAGCTCTCACATTTAATGCCCTTTTTTTCAATATTGAAATTGTTTGGATATTAATATGGAGTATACTACGCCTTGTTACATCTTTTCTATTTGTATTATGTGCCTCTTATTGTCACTGTATGAATGTCAGTGTTAAAGATTGGGAGACATGACTCATGGCTTTCAGGGACAACTTTAAAGAAAATTTTGTTTCCCAGCTACATATTTCATTACCCTCTGTCTTGAGCAATCCACTGCAAGTAATACTCCCAGCTCTGTTTTTCTATGAGCAGCTATTTTTGAATATTGCTTCCAGATTTTTCCCACTGGGGATCCCATTTCCAGTGTCATATGAAACTGGTCATTGTTCTCATATGGCAGCTCAGGATTTGCAACTGAAATCTAACATGACCTTTAACTCCAGAACCAAGGACCATGATTTAGTCTGACAGTGGCTGCTTCAGTGAATATTATTAGATAATTTTTGAATTCTCATTTGTAGTTTAAAAGTTATCAGACAAAGCTAAGAAAAAGCTTACCTATCTCTGCCATTGTCATTTAAATCTCCTGTGTTTTATTCCAGCCTTATATTTCAATTTTCATGTTGCAGATGCATTTCCAGAGATGTCAAAATCACAAATTCTCCTCTGAAATAAATCAAAGATCAGTTTTTATCATATAGCTTTGTCTGGTTCTTACTTGCATTCAGTACCAGAAACATCTGAAAGAAAATCTTTTATACTGATTCTGTCATCAGTTCTGGTCCAAGTTATCCACAGTGATCCTTGTATATGAGACATGTTATTTGTTTTACTGTCATTTATTGTCATTACTTGCTGCTCTTTATTGAAGAGCAGTCTGCTGTCTGCCTTTTTGGCCATTTAGACTCATTTCTGAATTATGTCCTTTCTTGCAAAAACTGTAGTAGTGGACTATTCAGGACTAGATAGACTGGCTTCTAGTATCCCAAAATAAGTGAGAAATAGGCAATCACTACTTGCTATATTCTAACTGAAAAAAGCCCACAGGATAGCATCAGTATAGTAAAACTGCCCATATTTGATGCCTGTTCATCATTCCTCAGCCTCACTTAAAACATTTGAAAGGTAGTGTTAAAGTCATAGTTGACGCTGTTGGAAAGAGATGGCTTGGTACCTGGATCCAGCATATCTCTTTGTAACAGTGGGTGCTCAAATTCCGTATGGTAAATCAGCTTGCTTCACTCTCCAAAGAGGAGTATTTATTTTCTGAAATTCAGAAAGCCAAAACAATTAATTGTAGATTATATATACAAGAGTGTCCTTCTAAAAATTTTCCTGCTAAAAAACATATCTGTATTTTCTTGTAGGTTTACAAGACACTTACTTCCAAGGGGAGCAGCTGAGAAGTAAGAAGATGTTAAGAGTGGTGGTCAGGAAAGGGATTAGAGGAGAAAACTGAGCTTGCCTGGTAGAAGAAATAACGAAGATATTTGTGCAGATATGTGTCACTTTCATTATGATGATCATATCTAAGCCTCTATTTTTTTTTCTGATTTGTTTGCTTCACTTTTCAGTTGTTTCTGAGGGGAAAGGGCAAAACTTTGTCCTTTCACAGGTTTGTATAAAGTTTGGTTAACTTTGAAAGACACTGAAGCACCAGAGCAGAGTAAAATATCCTTCTCATTTTTTTGACACTGAACAAGCTCAGACTATAGGAAAAGCATATTTAAATCTTCAAATATAGGGACTGTCTGTGTGAATTTGGGGTTGTTCTATGAACGCTCAAAACCTATATATAGAGAATAGGCTGCTGGATGTGAAGTTCCAGTATTTCTGATATGAATATATACATCACTGAAGCCTTTTTGCTACACAGAGTCACGGCTGTACACGTTAAAATATAGATGCACACCTTACCTGTAAATATGCTGTATTTGGGAAGCTCTTAGCACTTAGTGAAATACTGGAGCTTGGTACATGATTACATATAATACTGAACAACATAAAAGAAAAGAAAATCTATACGTCTATAGCTGTGATTACTCCTTGTACTCGAAACCCAGTTGGGAGATGTAGGTTTCCATGGAACACAGCAGTTTATTGGTAAGGCAGAATATCCTACTTCGAGTTAGAATTGCTAGTGATCCACAGCCTGCGTTTGTTTCCAGAGGGACTTGAAGAGCTGTTTTAAGCTTTCAGCTTTTACTCATCTACAAGAGCTGTTTACAAACTTCTTACTGATGATTTATCAATATGGGAATTCACATCCTGACTTGTCCAAAGTAATCTATCTTCAAACAGGCCAGAACTTTCCATCTGTCAAAGGAATAGGAGACATGCAAAAAAAAAAAAAAAAAAAAAAAAAAAAAAAGGGAAAAGCAGGTTGTTTTTGTTCTACTGTGGGGCTTGTTAGTTAAGCGTAAGGAAAGTTTTCCTGATTCTTAAGGATTGTATATTATTTATATAATTGTTGGAGGTGTGCTCAAAGCCTTAATTAAACATCCTTTATGCTGGCTGTTGAAACACAGATAACCTAGTTATTTACCTGATTCACAGGGAAGAATTACAAACATTTTAGACCTTCTGTGTAAATCAGCAAAATTTATACTATATATTTAACATCTCCTCTTCTCAAGTGCCTAATCAACACGAATCAAATGCATTTTCAAAACATGATTCACCTATCCTGTCCATAGACATTGTAAAGTGGACCTATTATTTTATGTACTAAATTGGAAGAGCAATTTTAGCATGCCGTGTGAAGATTTAATTTTGCATCTCTCATTAAAGCTAATGGAGACTGTGTTGTTAAATCACATGGTGCATAACATTCCATATTCCCTTAAGTGTCCTTATGTTGCTGAACTGGGAAGAGGCTGAAGAAGTATGCACATGTATTTTGGTGAGCATCTAAGAGTTTAATTTAATTTTCAGGTCTGAGACCAACACCCTTGAATAACTGGTCTCATATGTGTAATCAAATTAAACCAGATGAACTCAAACATTTTAAGTGAATAAGTGAAATAGCCAAAATTAGTTTAAATTAACAAGGTGTTGTATCTGTGTGGGTCTTGGCCCAAGGAAAAATGTTCCTGTAACAACTTGCTGAAGTAGTCCCTTCACATGCACTGATAAAATCTAGCAAGTGATTTTTAAAAGCTTGGAGCAGACAAATTATTTGGCTTCAGCATTGTTCAAGTTTGGCTTCTTTTTTCCTGCCCTTTTCAACATTTTTCCTTTTTTTTTTTCTTGAATTATTCTTGAATTTTTATTATATGGTCTTCATCTAAAAATCTTTTATAGCCCCAGAACAAAAGCAAAAAAAAAAAAAAAAAAATCTTAATTATCACTACTATAGTTTTAGAAGAGAACTATATTACTAAGAAAACCATTTCTACTAAGAACAACAGTGGGTTCATATGAGGCTTTCCTGATGTGTCCACTTGTTTCTTCCCATGAGTAATTCCTTCTTAAACTGCTAAGGAACTCTTCTGAGACTGAAAGGAGGGAAGAGGAGAAGTGGAGAACTGTGTTCTACTTCATTATCAGAAAACAGTAAAAACAATTAGACCTCGAGAAATTGCTCTGGAAGGAAACTCATTGGTGTACTCTGGACATGGTGATCTCACTTAAGTATGGGTACTGTCCCACATCTCACACATACTTTGTTGGATACACATACATTTTAAGAAAACGAGTAGTTTCTTGGTAAAATATTTCCTATTCATTACTGTTATCGTTTTAAGCTGGTTTCAATGGTCTATTTTAAATGTACAAGGGTTGCTCTGAAAGTTATGCACATATTTGATTATGTTGACCACAATATCAGATGTTGGTGATACGACAGTAGAAGCTGAACTTTCCCACAAATACTGCATTACATTCCGTTGCTGTGTATCAGATGGCAGCAGAGGGACATTCTGACATGTGTCAGGTGTCAGACATGGAAGTGTAGATGAAGAAAAGGTGTGTCACTGAAGTCCTCCATGAGGAAAAATTGACATCCACTGACATTTATTGACCCTGAATATTTATGTTATGTTTGACGCTGAATGTTTATGGGGACCAAATAGTGGATGTGAGCATAGTGAGGTGGTGAATGGTACATTTCAGCAGTGGTGACTGTGAGGTAAAGGATACATGCACAGCTGTCATACCATGAAATGAAGAACACCTTGAACAGCTCATCTTTGTGAATTAGTGGATTATGACCACTGTATGAACTGTAATTATGACCAGTGGAAAACCAGATTATGAACTGTGTAGAGAGCTGAATATCAGCTTTAAAGTGTTAAAAATGATGGTGGTAACATTAGAATATTTCAAAGTCTGTGCCAGTTGGGTCCCATAAGTGTTCACAAAAGAACTTAAAGAACACCATTTTCAAGGTTTTGAGGATCTATTTAACCAATATAGGCATGAAGAAAACAGATTCCTGAAATGCATCAATTCCAGATATGACAAGATTTGGTACCTACATGATAGACAGAGTCAAATCAGCAGTGCATGGACAGGCAACATTTGAATTCCCCATCGAAGAAAAAGTTCAAGATACAGTCCTTAGTGAGTAAAGAGATGTGCATTGTCTTTTATGATAAGAATTGTAAATTCTTAGAACGGTTTGAGTTGGAAGAACTCTTTAAGATAATTTAGTTCTATCTGCTCTGCTAGATCAGGTTGCTCAAAGCCCCATCTAGCCTGGCCTTGAACACCTGCAGGGTGGGAGCATCCACAACTTCTTTGGCAACCTGTTCCAGTGTCATCTAGTTTAAACCTACCCTCTTCCAGTTTAAAAGCATTTCTACTCATCCTGTCACTACATGCTCTTATAAAAGTCCCTCCCAGCTTTCCAATAGGCCCCCTTCAGGTACTGGAAGGCTACTATAATGTCCCCCAGAGCCTTATCTTCTCCAAGTTGAAGAACTCCAGCTCTCTCATCTTGTCCTCACAGTGGAGGTGTTTCAGCCCTCTGACCATCTTTGTGGCACCCTTCTGGACATTCTCCAACAGCTCCATGTTCCTTATTGTGTTGGGAGACCCCAAAACTAGATGCAGTACTCCAGACGGTGTCTCATGAGAGAAGAGTAGAGGGGCAGAATCACATGATTTTGATGGTCACATTTCTCTTGATGCTGTTCAGGATACAGCTGGCCTTCTGTGCTGCAGCCACACGTTGCTGGTTTGTATTGAGTCTTTCATCAACTGACACCTCCAAATTCTTCTCATCAGGGCTGCTCTTAAGCCATTCTCTGTACAGCCCGTATCTGTGCTTGGGATTACCCCAACCCAAGTTCAGGATCTTGCACTTGGCCTTGTTGAACTTCACGACGTTGGTATGAGCCCACCTCTCAAGCCTGCCCAGGTCCCTCAGGATAGTGTCTCTTCCATCTGGCACGACAACTGCACTATTCAGCTTGGTGATTCAGCTTCATCTCCAAATTTGCTCAGGGTACATTTGATCCCACTGTCCAGGACACCTTAAATATGTTAAATAACACCAGTCCTTGAGGAACACCACTTATTACTGGTCTCTGCTTGGACACTGAGCCACTGAACGCAACTCTCTGAGCACAACCATCTAGCCAATTCCCTATCCAGCAAGTGATCCGTCCACCAAATCCATTTTTCTCCAATTTGGTGACCAGGATGTCGTGCAAGACAGTGTCAAAGAGGTGATCCTTCTGGTTGTCCTGAAAGCCAGACAAACTATTAACTCTGACTGCTGCATTACAGCATTGACTGAGCAGAAGGCTAAAATTTCTAGAGTCAAGCCAGAGAAGTAGAAAACGTTTCTTTTGCAATGTGATAACACCAAGACCAATACCAGTTTGTATTCCATGAAGCACACTGCCAGTCTTAGCTGGACCATCTACCAGACCCAATGTATAGTCCAGATTCAGTGTCTTCTCACTTCCACCTGCTTGGGCTGATGAAAGATGGACTGTATGGGCAATATTTTGCTAGCAGCAATGTTGTCATAGCAGTTGTGAAACAGTGGGTCAACTCTGCTGGTGCAGATTTTTATGAATGCAGCATGCAGGCTCTTGTTCATTACTGACATATATGTACAGCTACAGGTGTTGACTATGTTTCAGAATTGTTTCGTAGCTGAGAATTTGCACTACCAAATAGAGTTATTATAGTCTTCGTGTCTTTTTTAGTTTCCATGGAGATAAATAATACCCAGTACTTTCAGAGTGATCTACATAGGCAGCCCTTCTTGGCTTAAATCTGCTCTCCCTCCCACTCTATGTTATGAATATCACATTACCTACAAAGGAGGGAAATTTGCCACCTTCTCAGCTGCTCAGTAATACATGGGGCATATACGTATGCTGTTGTAGGTGAATGCAACAGTATGGAATAGACTTCCATATATTTAGGACTTCCATATGGACAGAAAAGTACAAAGCATGATGGTCACAGGGCATCTTATGTGCTTTTTAGAGCATTACTTACTAGAGAATGTAAAAACATTCTCTATTGAGTCTAGAAAAATGAAAGCTAGAGATAGACATAACTGTTGTGTATTGATTAGGTAAGCTGTGGAGCTCATGACACACATTTCCCCAAGAGCAAAAAAGTAATTGAAATGTGGTCTCCCGTTGGTTTATTTTCTTCCATTTCCTTTTCGCAATATCCACTAGCACCATATTTTCTATACCTCAATTCTCCCTTCCACTGTATCTGCCAAGGGTATTACTTCAATCTTCCTACCTTTTCCTGCCTCTGCACCCTTTCTTCACATTCCCATAGATCAGTACTCAGTACTTTCACCAGTACTTTGTAATCTCCTCACGCATGCTTTGTGCATTTTCTTGCTGTTGGTTTGGCGAAAAACATCAGGATACAGATATGCAGCCTTCTTCCAAACAGAGTGAAAAATGGTTGATTTCCCCTGCTCTGCTATTGTGGCATTAGCCTCTCACCTCTATCAAGATATTGACTAATAGGAATTAGCTGTCTTTGAGAGAACTCCTCCACTATCACACAAGTCTCCACCATTCCAGAAAACATGCTAAAAAGAAAGGTACTATCTTTACAACATTTTGAAACAAACTTATCAAGAGTACATTTTAAACTGGAAGTTAGAAATTTAAAACTTTTAAGAGAATATTCAAAGACAGCCCTCTAACATGAATTGTGCAGAACAAGAAATGTGATTTATCGGTAAGAGATGCAGCACAGTAAAATAGTTAAAGAGAATGTCTTACATGATACGGAAGAAGAGTGAATGTGACATGCCAGAAGAATTTCATATTCTTCTGACAATTCTATGATCTAACGACTTAATGTCATATAATATACACAATTAAAATACAGGCTGAAGCACAAGATGATTCTCTCATAATGTTAAATCATAAAATATTAATTTTT